GGCCAAGTTTGAAGATCCCTGCATTATATCATTGAAAAATTGGAAGCTGCAAAGAAGTAGATCCTTCCTAGATCCATCTTAGACCATAGGTCCTTTTTACAATGAGATTTCAATCCATGTAAGTTCAGCAAATGTGCAATTCAGCCGCCGTATAAAAAGGGCACTTCAATGTTGGCTACAGCTTGGACGTACGTAACCCTCACATATCAACTGTCCATTAAAAAAAGGAATTACACCTGTCCTACAATTCCATCCAGCTCAAGATTATGTCGTCACATGGCTAAGAGGCTACTTAAGAATCCCAATGTTCCGTTCCGGTGCAAATGATTGGATAAATATGTAGCAAAGAAGTTGAACTTGCAAATCTTTTGATGTCTCTTTGTACACATACAGGGACAACATCACAGGAAGGCCACCATCATCCCGTGGTGGGTTGTTAGAGACTGGGGGGGGGGGGGCAAACGTAGAATTATGCATTGGTACTTCTTAGCTGGTCAGGAAAAATAGAACACATGTTTAATTTCCCAGCCGAAATGCTTAAGCCTGATATGGCTACCTGCCTTACACGGGGGGGGGGGGGATATTAAAATATATAGTCATAGAGTTCTTCTAAAACATGGAGTAGGGTGGCATTTTTAACCCTGGTATTATGATTTGGGAGAATCTTTTGGATTCTTCATTATTGTTGTTGTTGTTGTTATTATTATTATTATTATTAATCGCACAGTCAGCCTTATGTTCAGACTGGATTTGGCATTTTTGTCTACCTATCGAGTCCTTCCCAAGGACCTGGGATAGGCAGATGTGGAGGTTTGATGGTATTACAGATATCATTGCAGGATGGAAGCAATTCCTAGTAAGGCCGCCTTTTGTAATTGACTAATGGCAAATTTGTCAGTGTCGATGATGGTGTTCAAGTGGTGCTCCAGTTGTTTTGGGATTGCACCCAAGGCGCTTACTACTACTACTACTACTACTACTACTATTACTACTACTACTACTACTACTACTACTACTACTATTATTATTATCATTATTATTATTATTATATTTTTTTCAGATAGCCTTCCTGCAAAGAAAAGAGGGAAATATCCTGAAGAGCCAGACCAAAGATGACAGGTTAAAATCAACCTTTGCAGGCAAAACACCGGATTTATCACTGGGCAAAAGGCGACATTTATTTCGTTTTTAAGGGTTTTTTTTCGCTTCCCCTTCTCTGCATTGGAGGAAGGTAGAATTTGACAGAAAGAAAAAGAGGAAGAATTCTCCGCTGGAGAATTTTCACATAAATGGCTCCTTCTATTTATAAATGGAATATTCCCAATATAGTTTAACGGTCCAGCATACCAGAGAAGACAGCTTTGAATGCGGGGGGGGGGGGGGAACCATTGAGGAGTAAATAGGCTGGGAGGAAGGGGGGGGCTTTGAGAATGTCGACCCTTCCCCTCTGATGGTCAGCCTGCTATTTTGGCCCACCGAGGGAACCTTGGTCTTTAGCTAGCTAGCTGGAGGAGAAGTCGCCAACAGCATAAATTATGCTTCTCCGCAGCTGGAGCCAACGTCAGGAATGGCTTTCCTAAATTTAGTCATTTCAGTTCTTTTGGGGGGGAGGGCTCTCCTGGTGGGCCTCTTAGGCATCGAAATGGGGGACTGGTTTATATAGGGAGTTGATTTGGGCTCCTTTCTGAATTCTTTCAAGGTCTAATATCCATAGTTTGGTCTAGCGATTAAGGCACCAGGCTAGAAGCTGGGAGATGGTGAGTTTTAGTCCCATCTTAGGCATAAAAGCCAGCGACTGGGCGACTTTAGGCCGATCACCAGGTTAGAGTAAGTTCTAGTTCCTTCTTAGGCATGACAGCCGGTTGGGTGACTTTAGCCCAATCACCGGGAGACGGGAAGTTTTAGTCCCATTTTAGGCATAAAAGCCAGCGACTGGGCGACTTTAGGCCGATCACCAGGTTAGAGTGAGTTCTAGTTCCTTCTTAGGCATGACAGCCGGTTGGGTGACTTTAGCCCAATCACCGGGAGATGGGGAGTTTTAGTCCTGTCTTAGCCATGAAACTGGCTAGGTGACTTTAGGCCAATCACCAGGTGATGGGGAGTTCTAGTTCCACCTAAGCTGGTTGGGCGACTTTATACCAATCACCAGGTGAGGTGAGTTTTAGTCTTGTCTTAGCCATAAAAGCCAGCTGGGTGACTTTAGAGTTAGACCAGTCACCAGGAGACAGTGGGTTCTAGTCTCACCTTAGGCATGAAAGATGGCTAGGTGACTTTGGGCTAGTCCAGGGATAGGCAACCTTGGCTCTTTTATGACTCTGGATTTCAACTCCCAGAATTCCTGAGTTTTTGCCTTCGATTATGTAGTGCCGATATTATGCTACTCAAATAAAAGATCCTTTAAGGTAAACAATGCCTCGAAGTTCTTTTGAAGAGTTTCATCTATTAGCACCATGACAGCCGTTAAAATGGTCACTAAATGAACCGTTCAAAGTCGAGGATTACTCACATATAACTCTAGGCCTTCCACAAGACAATGACAGAATGAAATCTCTATAAACAAATCAAAAACCACCATTAGAACAGTCCCCATGAGTGGAGCATAGACCAAGCCCTAAATCTACTCTTCTGCAACTCAAAAGCATTAGATCTACTCAACAGAGATCTCAATCACGAAGAGAGCCTTATATGAAAATAATGACAAGCAGATTCCCCGAGGATTATTGAGAATGCCTCATTTTTAGGAAAGTAGTCCATAGAAAAATCATTTAGAAAGTCGATACAAAGTATGTTGTATATAAATATCTGCTCTCCTGTTTTGTTTTGTTTTAACACAGGCCTTAAATGTTGTTGTTTCCCCCCCCCCATTGGAGGGGAGGATAAACAAACTTGTAACTTGGCTTCTATTTTGCAAGATGCAAACTACTGCTTTCGGTTCAGACAGTTACTCATTCCTGTAAAAATATTTATTACTTTTATTTTAAAGAGCTGGGACAATAGGTTTCAAGGAAAGTGAAGTGTATAATTAACTCAGAAACAAATCAACCAGCAATTTAAAGGGAAAGAAAGAAAGAAAGAAAGAAAGAAAGAAAGAAAGAAAGAAAGAAAGAAAGAAAGAAAGAAAGAAAGAAAGAAAGACTCAATTAAAAAGCTAAGGAGAAAAAAAACAATCCTAAGGACAACATTTCATGAACATCCTCATGGGCTTTTTTGATTATCCAAGAATATTAGTCCAGATCCTCTTGTTTTTCTCCTGCTCTGTCACTGAAAATCAGAGTGAAGGTGAGGCTGTTAAAACTGAGCAGGGATGGTTAAGAAAAGACAGCCAGTTCCCCATCCTTCACTTCCTCCACAAAGCCAAGCTGAGTCCTTCAAGAGCACTTCCCCTTCCATCATTACCATCCGGGACAAATCCAGGCCATTTCTGCCAGACACAAACAGGCTAATAACCCATTAAAGGAGCGGAGATGGCCAGCATTTATCTTTCTAGCTAGCTGGCATTCCATTTTAGTATCGAGTTACAAGGGCTTCAAAAGGCATTAGAAATCGGTCTGGGGTGTCCACAAATATACAGGGCAGTCCAAATGGAGGAGAAAAAAAAACACACACCAAACCCCAACATTTCCAGTTCAAATCAAGTGAAAATAAAAAAAAACAAAAACACTGCATATCAGACGGAAATGAAGATCACACACACACACACACACACACACACACACACACACCAATCTCTCCTTAGAATTATAAGATAACCTTTGTTGTCACTTTTTTCTGTCTTCACAGTGGCACCCATTAAAAGATGATATTCTGATACCTGCTCTCAAAAGAAAATAAATATATAACCACATACATACAAACACACACACACACACACACACATACATATACACACATATACATATGTACACACACACACACACACACACACACACACACACACACAATTAATCAGAGCCCATTTTTTTCCATAGCAGGGGAAAAAAGTCTTGAGAATTAATATGAACATGATCATCGTTTCATGAGAAACATTACAGGACTTATAAACAAATCTAAAGGGCTCTTTTGCTGCTAAAATGGAAGTTCCAACTCTCGGCTGTTTTGCACATTCAAAATTGTAAGGCCAGTCCCTTCCTTTCCCTGCCATACCAGCTCATGGCTGCATCTTTCTTTTTTAAGACTCCCAACTTTGAAACCCAGTTTGGGAAAGAGAAATCTTTTAGGGCTTTCCAAAGCAGAACTAAACTTCTCCACCATTAAAAAAAACGGGGATGGCTGATGTAAATATGGGTCAGGAGAAACAATTCTGCAAGCTGTTTGTGCCTCCAGACGCCGGAAAATTTAACCCCCCACCCTACCTCTGTCTCCTAAAGGATTTCTTCTCCAACTGGAGCAGAAATTTGTTGCAAAAGGATGGAGTAGAAGATGAAAAAAAAAGGGTGGTGGTGTGGTGGCTGGAATGGAGAAAATAAACAAAATCGGGAAGCTTTTTGGCTCCACGGCCTGCTGATCAGGCTGGCATAGCCCTAAAGAACCAAGCAGAGCGGCTTCATTTTGCAGCTCAACTGCACCCAGAAGGTTGTTTACTTAAAACACACAGCTCAACACCCTCCTTTACTCCCACCCCAAGCACAAGGATACAAAAGCTGTGGGCCGGTGAGAAATTTGATCCCAATCATTCAGTTGTTTTTTTTAAAGACCTTTCTCAATGAGAAAGGAGGGATGTGGCAGAGAATTGACTTACAAAGTCAATTAAAAACCTTGCCTTCCCAACAGACAAAACTGTGTCTTAGCCAAAATCTTCCTTGTTTAACCTTCGTCCCCCTAAGAGCAATCAGGTTGTGAAGGCAGCTCATCAGCCCCACATCCCAGAGGGTTAGAAACCTCCATAGGTAGCTGTCATTATTTATTTTTTTAGAGGAAGGATGGATTTGAGAGAGAGAGAGAGAGAGAGAGAGAGAGAGAGAGAGAGAGAGAGAGAGAAGGAAGAGCTGCAGTGGACTTACGTGAAGACGAAAAAGAGCGAAGTTGACCCCACTAATAAGGCAGCTGCAGTAGAGACGGGGATGTATTTTGTCGGTTTAAATCTTTTTCCGATACTGCTGGGCATTCTGTGGATTATACATCACTGTGCGTTAATCCAGAGTATCCGAGAAGCACTGGGGAGCCAGAGAGAGAAAGACAGCCAGAGAGAGAGAGAGAGAGGGAAAGAGAGAAAGAAAGACAGAGGGGGAGAGAGGGCTAGGGCGTGGGGGAAGCCCCCGAGATGAAGGTCTGTGCACTGCAACGAGATCAAGCAAGGGGAGGGGAAAAGGGGTAGGAAGAGGAGGAAATAAAAGGGGGGAACCGAGGCAGAAAGGGGGAGGGAGAGAAAGAGAGAAGAGGGGAAAAAAGGGATGGGTAACAGCTGACCTCTTTTGCACAGGAAACTCAACCCACAGAAGCCAGCCCACTCGGCTGATGTCAACCAACCCCTTAAGGTAGCACTGCAGAGAGCTAGACGGAGATGGAGATGATGGAAACAGTTAGGAAGCAGCAATCGGGTGTTGGGGGGGGGGGGAAGGGAATGCCTAAAGCTCCTGAGCTGCCTCCTCCACCTACCGGGCCCGGAAGGCCTGCTTTCCTGCAACTGGATGCCTCCCCACCCAGGTTCCACCTTCTTCTCCAGAGGAGATCCTTCAGGCTTCAGATCCCGACCGCATCTTTGCATCTTTCCGAGGAGGCGCCGGGGAAGAGGCAAAGCGCAGCCCGAGATCCAGCAGATTGGGAGGAAGAGGAGGAGGAGGAGAAGGCAGAAAGGGTGACCCATTTGGCCTGGAGACGGTTTTGGGGAGGGCGAGGGAGGAAATTTCCCCTTGGGATGTGGACATGCCAAGGTGAGCTTTGAAGGGCCAAGGAGAAGTCAAAGAAGACAAGCAAGAGGAACAGGGCAGCTTCATCAAGTCCAGCTTTAGCTCCAACGGGGGATTCTGGAGAACTTGAGAGCCTGACATTCTTTGATGCTATGTTGCTTCCCCTCAACTGCTACTACCCGCTTGGGGTGAATTTTTGTGGTATCTTTGGGACCATCTCTGCTTTTTATATACAAAGCCCCTCCCCCAAAGAAAAAACTTTGGGTTTCCACTTGTAGGGCGTTACAACTCCCACAATTGTTGAAGAGGCATAAGGGGGGGGGGAAAGAGTATAAATTTTACAAATAGTCCTTAACTTAGGACCACAACCGGGAGCAGTTTCCACTGCTAAGACGGTTATTGAGTTTTGCCCAATTTTATGACCTTTCTTTTTTTGGGGTGGGGGGGGTGGGAAACAGTCGCTCAATGAATCACATGGTCGGTAAGCGAATCCCGTTTCCCCCATTGTCTCCGCTTGTTGGAAAGTCAGCTGGGTAAGGTTGCAAATGGTGACCCTGGGACCGCGCAGCTGTGGTTAAATACATACCATGCGACTGAATTTGGGTCACGTGACAGAGGCGGGCGGGGGGGGGGGCGGGCAGAATGCTGCAATGGTTGTAAATGTGAGGACCAGTTGTAAGTCCCTTTTGTCCCTGCGGTTGTAACTTTGAAGGCTCGCTAAATGGTTATAAATCGAGGATTACTTGATTAAAGTAAATTCATATTAATTAAGACTTTGGGGAGATCTTATTGGCTTTTTAAGATTGACGAACAATTCCAAAGAAGCGTGGGCATTCCATAAAATCGCTGAACTGTTGTTTTCATCCCGCGGATCTTCCCCAGCCCAAGATCATCAAACCACGTTGACATGTGATCCACCGCCCCTAAAAAGGCACAAGCACCTCTTGCTTAATGTGAGGAAGGGTCTCAGGAGAAGCAGCTGTTGTGGTTAAAGCCCACGTCTCACTTAAGTTTTAATTCCATTCTGTGCAGTTGAGCATTCTCAAGTGGACGCATAGGATTTGAAGAAAAAAGTTGGATGAGCTTCTGGCGAGATTTTGGCATCGTACAAACCACACACACACACACACACACACACACACACAGCCATGGTTTACCACCCACAAAGGCCACGTTTGCTCCCCCTCCCCAGTGCATGCCATAAACAAGCCACAGTGGATGTGTGTGACCAAACCTATCCCCTCACACTTGGCCTTGCATTTAAATACGTCTTCGTTTTTCTTCATGTCTTCTGAGAAAAGGTGTTCTTCTCTTTTATAGTTGGCACCTTTTGGCTTCAGCCTCACAATTCTAGGAAATCTCAAAAAATTAAAAAATAAAATAAAAATGGTAGCAGATTGCTTGATTTGGGTTTTTTTGTGTATGTGTGTGTGTGGACGAAGGTGCAAACTACGTTTTGTATTACATAAATGTTGATATATAAATAGCATGACTGAGTTCTGAGTTATACAGAACGCGGATGGACCTAGCAACAGAAATCAGTACTAGAATCTGCCTAAGCAGTCGGGCAGATTAATAAACAAGAGGCTGAATTCCACCATAACCTTAATTATTCCCTCCTTTAGCTACAAGAGGTTGCAGAGGAAGTAAGGCCCAGTTCTGTTCAGGGCTGCGGCTTCCGAGTGGGCTGTCTGTCCACGCTGTCTTTCTGGTTATGAGCCACGGAACAGGGTGGGAACCAAAGAGGCTGGCACCTGCCTTTAATTAGCCCCGTCAGAAATTTGAAGAATTCCGTTGCACCCATAAGCGAAAACAGATTTTTTGTGTGTGTTTTGTTTTTGCACATTCTAACCACTATTGCAAAATACATCCCATTTCGAACACAACTGAAGTTCTTTTTGTTGTTGTTGTTTTCACGGATGCAGTTGGAAAGTTGACCCTTAACCTGGGTGTTTCGGCGTTTGTCACTTCTCAGAAATCCGGCCGCAATCTGTGGACCGCGTTAGGTGTCGAAGTCTTTATGCCGTCCACAGGAAATTGGGGGGGGGGGCCACAGTGAGCAAGTTCAGAACTCACCGTCTCCCCAAACGTAGCTCACAGGTGCATCTGCCTACACAATGCACAGATGGGTTCACTTTCGCATAATCCACACACAATTTTGCACCCATGTATGTGACAGCTGGCACTTTGCTCGGGGGATCGCTTTTGTTGATTGCACAGGAGCACACCTGATGGAGTCTGTCTACATTCCAAGTACGTACACACACACACACACAAACACACACACACGCCTGAAGGCCCTGGGGTGACCTCCACTAAGCTTAGAAGATAAGCCAGTTCTTGAAGAGTAGCAGGAAGTCCGAGGCCATTAAGGAGATGGGAAAGTCAAAAAGCTTCCAAGATGATGGAGATGGTAAAGCTTGCCAAGATGACGTCACCACGATTCAAGTGTGAATTGAAGGACTTTGGCTTTCCTCTTTAAATCCATTCATCCTGAGACTCGGCAGCTAAGCGATGCAGGTCAGATCCCTCACCCTCATCCAATTGATTTCATAACGCTTAAAAGCTGAGTCCACTTCTCCGTACGAGAAGTACAATACCACAGCGGTATTGAAGCGTTGCCAACTCGGTGGTTCTTTTCAAGTTAGACATGTACGGGTGACCGACCTTGTCAGCCTACTTGTCCTTATAGAGGTCCTTTGTGCCCTCTGAGTTTTGTACCCATCTAGATAACAACATCAGTGCAAGTAGGGAGTAGGGTTTGTGGGGTCCTTGGGGCTGAGTTTGGTGGTTTTCTTGCAGACGTTTCATTACCAAACTAGGTAATATCATCAGAGCTACCTGACCTTATTGAGCAAAATACACTTGTCCTCTGGAGCAGTTTTTTTTTTATCAAGACTACCTTTATCTAACTTCCGTTTCACTTGTTACAGTTGTTGAGCCTCCTAGAGTAGCCCATGGCGAAATAGGAAACAAATACATTTGATAATAATCTTGCCACTGAGAGCCTCTGGAGATGATGGGGACTGAATTTATGACTTGGCTGTTAACATCTTCAAAAGTTGTAGTAGTCAGCTGGAAAAGCCACATTTTCAATGTCATAATCTTCTTCAGACCCCTTGTTTTGCCAACAGCAGTCTCCGGGGTTAAGCATTAAAGTCACTTGGCAAATTTAGTTGCCAATAGAAAAGTTACTGTAGAAAACACAAAACCACATTGACACACACATGCTTTATCAGATGCCCTGCTATTTTGTTTTCATCTATTTGTGAGAAACTCATATAGTCTTCATGTTTTTAGTGCTAATGGTAATGTGTATCCTTACGTACAGATTTTTACCAAGGGCTTTGTCCAAATTTTATTTCACTACTATGCAGAGATGAATTATTCACAACAGCTTCAAATAGCGCATGTGATCACGATTTAGGGAATAAATCCAATCGATTTTTTTTCTCCCTTACTGATCTCTATGTATTGTTATTTATGTTGCGATGCAGCTTAGGCAATTTACGACCCATCCATTAGCATTATTTTGCTATTACTGTGTACAATATTAAGCCATTCTTCAAATTCGTTTCAGGAATCCTGCTAGGAAGGCAAAAATGTCCTAGAGAGGTGCGTGGGTGTGTGTGTTTTGACTCCTGGCAACTTCCTGGACATGTCTCTTGTTTACTTGGCAAGGTTTTTCTCCTTCCTAGTGTCATTGGATGTTCTTGCTTTGATACCTAGGCTGAAAGGGACGCAGCCAGTTTCATAGCTCAAGCAGCTCTAGAATTCACAATCTCCCGGTTTCTAGTGCTACATAACCACTACAGGTAGTCCTAGACTTACAACAGTGCATTTAGTGAGTTTGAAGTCACCATTTTTCACACTTATGACCGTTGCAGCATCCCTGTGATGCAAAACGATCAAAATCCAGCTGCTTGGCAACCAGCTCGTATTTATGGCAGTTGCAGCATCCTGCGGTCACGTGATCCCTTTTGTGATCTTCTGACAAGCAAAATCAACGGGGAAGTTAGATTCACTTAACAACTGTGTTACTCACTTAACTAGTGATTTACTTAACAACTGTGGCAAGAAAGGTTGTAAAATGGGGCAAAATTGATTTAACTCTGCCACTGAGCAAACGTCAATTTTGGTCGTTAAGTCGAGGAGTACCTGCACGCCAAACTGGCTCTCCCTAGAGTTACAGAACCCCAAATAATAAAAACGGCAGCTTTATTTACTCACACCAGTCAATTAAAAATAAGATTGCACATGTTTCTTTTGTGGTATCTTACTTTATGCTCCTGTTTCTTTTACACAGCATCGTTGATACATTATTTTGTTTTAATATATAAAGTTAAACAAACACTATATAAATCCTGTCGGTATGGCTTCGTTTCTGTTGCTGAACAGGTTTCCACCATAAAAAAATTGCCACGGGAAGAGGCTTCGGAAAAAGCACACACAAGCTTTTGCATTTTACAAAGGGAGCAAACAGAACAGGCAACCTGCATAGTACATTTACACACAGCAACAACAATGCAATTGTTCCCTTTCTCTCCCTGTCCCCCCCCTTCCCAAACCCAAGTGACAGATGACGAGCTGTACTGGAGAGCCACATTCAACAGATGCTCTTCCCTTCACACATCATTCACTTTTTATGTCCCAGAAATTACAATACAGAAACCAAGTTG